TAATGTACATCCGATAATCTCTCCAAAAAAATGGTCTAGTTTCTTGTAATAATATTCTATCTGTTCTATAGAGTCACTGTTATCATCAGTAATGAGAATAACAGAGTTTCCTGGTTCTTTAGGGTTCTCTTTAAGAAGAGTACACTCAGCATATCTGAATCTTCCTTCTTCATCATCACAGTTCCATTTACTAAAGATGATTCTTTCTGGTGCAATAATCGGTACATCATCTGCCCCACGATTGAAGTGGAGTAATACTTGCACAATAATGTCTTTTTCTTCTCTGGTAGTCATCTTGTTTCTTGATTAATATTAGTTTTCACCATGAGTATTTATATCATATTCGATGATAATACTTGTAATCTTAGATTATTCTTACTATGCTTAGTATTGTATCATATAACAGTAAATACTACTCACTCATGTTGATCTTAATTTATGTTTTGCCATATTCGGGTTCTTAATGCTTATTTTTGTTTGGTTTATTGCTTGTACACGGTTTCACATGAATGTGAACTATGGTTGATAGTAATATGAATACATCTCTAATGGGATGTTGATTGGTTGGTAAATGAATTCTTCCACAGCTCCCTGTGTATCATCTTCAATCAATATTTCTCGTTGTTCTGTGTTTGGTTGAAGTTGGTGGTATGAGTTTGGCTATTTACCCCATTTACTGATTCCTGTTTCTTCCTCTAAATAGGGTATGATGTTGTTACTATTTTCGTAATCAGGTTTTTGATCAGGTTCTGGTATATATTTAGGCTTGGGCTGGGGTTGGGGTTTTATAATGGTAGGTTTGTTGTCTTTAGTTTTCTTTTTTCATCGCTGTTTTTCATGTGGACGTCTTGGTTTATATTTATACATTGGATATATTTTCTTATGTTGTTCTTTTACACCTTCAGCGATCTGTTGCCATCGTAGCCGTTCCTCAACTGGTTCATCGTGCCACATTTGTCCTATCATTCTGAAAATATCATTATTATTTATATTATCACATGATGAGAACACGGTATCGTGTTTATGTTTACGATAGAGAATGAATGCGTTTGGAGGCCGTGGTGTTGCTCTAGTCTTATTACGTTTGGTTTTATTTGGTATGTATCTGACCATAGATTTGTATTTTGTTATAACCTGGTTGATTTCATCAGATGTACTAAAAACTGTTTCTGGTTCTAATTCTGTTTCACAGATAAGACTTCCGATCTTTTGTTCCTTATATTCATCAGAAAGCTTCATTAAATATTCACGAACTTCTTCTGGGATCATGATATTCATATTATCTGTTTATCTAGCTTGGTTGGTCATAATCTCACTAGATACCCCTGATGCGTTTTTATACTAATACGGGTCATGTTTTGTTTAATGAGACGGGTGATACTGGCTTTGGCGTAGTTACGTGTACTTACTACGAGTTTGGAACTGTACCGTTACATTTGTACAATCAAACAAATAAATTCACATATAGACAATATAAGATTGTTATT